GTAGGTTGGAGGCCATCGCTATTAGGTTGGAGGCCATCGCTATTAGGGTGGAGGCCATCGCTATTTAGGTTGGATAACACAGAAAGGAAAAAGACACTGTAAAGTACAAATCTTAGGATCCAAAACCGATTTCACCTGTTTCACACTGTCTCCATAGTCATCAAAGGCCCATTGCCACTCCTTGTTGGGGCGAGTAGGAACCAATCCTCGGCCCAACATTCCCACTGGCATGGAGTACTGGTAGTCCCCCAAATGAGCTTGGATGGCACCCAGCTCGTCCTTCGTGAGCTTCTTCCCTTGCATCTGTGGAAGCCACCAATTCACCCCTGACCAAGCATCCGGTTTGGCGTCAGTCTTAACCAGTGTCATGCTGGTTCCACAGTACTTCACGTTCACTTCACCTCCTTCAAGTTCGGTGACACTTGCATCCAGCAAATCTGGATAGTCACAGCCCTGACGGCCCTCTTGATAGGAGCGCAAGCCTTGGACCACCCACAAGGATGCCCACAACGAAGCCGTCTTCATAGGGCTTTTTCAAATGATTCAAAGTTCACAAACAAAGCCAAGATATTGAGCCAGACACTACACCAATCGATGATTCTGACGAGAAACATACCTCCTATCTGGACCAATACTACCTGACCGACCTCGGTCAACGTCAGCATTGACAAAAAGACATCACCATCTGAACGGTCGCACCACCGCCCCGCCCACCTCGTCCGCACCGGTCTGCGCGACGTCGGGAGTCGTGCAGCATCGCCGCTGCCTCGTGGTGTGGGTCGTTTCATCCCGCCGCGTAATCGAAAAGGAATGAAACACTCTGAGATCGTAACAAGAAGCGAACGTAGTAACAAGTGCCACGCTAGTAGTAACAGGTGCCTTACTAGTAGTAACAAGAAGCGAACGTAGTAACAAGTGCCACGCTAGTAGTAACAGGTGCCTTACTAGTAGTAACAAGAAGCGAACGTAGTAACAAGTGCCACGCTAGTATTTATGAGAATTTTTGGAGAGCCAAGAGATGAGAGCTAATCCATCGATTCGCCTACCTGCCATTCTATCGGCCGGAGGATGGATGATGGATGGAGCTGCGAGGATGCAGGACCTGCCTCCTGTGAGGTGAACGCACAAAAGAGTGTAGACTTAGTCTGACATTTTGGAGTTTCGCGGGGTTTCTTAGTTTGCTATTAGGTTGGAGGCCCAGCTCTGCACTCTTAGTGTTTCGTGTGGGTTTAGGGTCTCCATTCTGTTTTGACTGACTCGGGGGTTGCATTGATTGGAACCTACATCGGTGTCATTGGTGTTCCTTCTCCTTTTTAAGCTCTGGTAGCAGAATGTCATGGGTAAGCTGATTCTCGCAACAGACCAACCTGGTCATTGCCACGAACGCAATCGAACGCACTCGTAGCACGGCACCCCAAATCATTCTCCCAAATCAAGGTCTTCAGTGGAAATCGATATCGGTGCACATCGACTTAACATAACAACCTGTGGGAGAATGATCACATTAAATTGTATGTTATGAGAGCCTGCTAAACTTCAAACATGCTATGACATTCTTAGTGCAGGGCTGGGCCTCCAACCCAATAGCAAACTATATTGACATGGCTTCCTTTTCTTGTTTTTTGTTTCTAATAGCGATGGCCTCCAACCTATAATTGTAATGGACTCCAACCTACTAGCGATGTATAAAAACCTGCGAAACTCAAACAAGCTGAGACGACTGCCGCACCCGCTGAGAGCGCCTTTCACCGGACGGCAGAGTTCGGCAACGCCTGTGGATGGCAGTTCTCAGGGGACTCGTTCGTCTTCATCGGCAGAGTTCAGTGGAACATCCACGGACCTCCTAGTCACTAGTCTGCAAGACTGCTCGAGGCATTCCAACTGACAAAACCATCACAACATATCTGCGTTTTGTCGCGCCAAACCAACAGACCCAGCATTTTCTGTCGCCAGCGTTTCTGTGGTCTGTGGTTTCTATCGGACATCATGTCAACCGATAGCTGTCAATCGAGACGAAAGAAAATTGAGTCCATACGGGCCAGGATGAAGCATGGTACGCTTCTCCCAAAGTGGAAGAAAGATCCATCAGTGGAGAAACCAACAAACTGCGCTGCTGCAGCATGCAACTGTATGCACATAACAGTGATTTGGTATGATTAATATTTTATTCTGCTCCACCTGTGGCTTCTTGAATGCAAACAAATCAAAGAAGTGGAGCAAATCTCGGCAGCAATGAGGTGAGCCTAGCTCTGCTACCTTATATAAATAGTCGGCTGGGTCGTCGTGCACTGTGTCACTGTGCGACAGCAACAGTGCGCGGAGACCATGGAGATGGCTTAGTGCACGGTGTTGTTGCCGGCTTTGTCGATGGGTGTGCCATCCACCAAATATCCCACGTCCGCAGCGTAGGCTGAGGCGGGCAATTCGCTACCAGGAGCATGAGGATCGGGTCCAATGTTCTCCTCAGTCCGAATCTAAAACCACATGGCCATGCTGTGATTATGTTTGCAATACAAGCCAGTCCATACTCCAGGGTGTTGCTTACACAATCATCGATAGCAACCGATACATCTGCAAAATACCGTTTTTACGCTGCTCTACTGTTGAATCAGACATTGACACAAGGGGGAACTCAAAAGTCTTCGCGAACTATCAGTGACCACTCAATTGCGTTGGTGGCTCGAATTCAAACAGCAATCCAGCTGCTGCTTTATGCTTTAACCCCCGTTGCTTGGCAGCAAAGACAAGCTTTCTATTGATTGCTTGGCTATTGGTTTCCCTTTGAGATTCTTGCCTAGCTTTTGCTTGAATCATTGAGTTCACCGAGCAACTCGAACCGTTCATGAAGCTCCGTTGCCAAGTGTCCGGATGGTTGATGTTGTTTCCTGCGGTGTTCAAAGGAGTGCCATCCGGCAAGTACCCCACGTCATTCACGAACAAAGCACGGGGCAGGACGGAGCCTGGCGATGTTCGCGCGCTGGCGCGGCTCGGAGCACTTCGGCTCGGCGTAAGGTCCCTTCCTCTCCGAGACGCATCTCCAGCCGTCTCACCGGAAAGAGAACAAGGGGCATCGCTACGAACGGAGCAAGAAGCTAGTAGAAACAAGTGCCACGCTAGTAGTAACAAGTGCCTTACTAGTAGTAACAAGAAGCTACTAGGGGCTCCTGGCCGTACTACTAGGAGCAAGGACGCTACGAACGGAGCTCGTGGCAACGCTACGAACGGAGCAAGAGGACGCTACGTTCGGAACCCAAGGGCATCGCGACTCGAACGGAGCGTCTCATCGTCTCATTCGGCGCGTCCATCCGGACCGTCCGGCCCGGATCTCTCGTTCGTCGCAACGGTCGCGAGAGAACGGTTCGAATGGAGGGTGATTTGGCGACAGTCTTGTTCAACATGAGTGGTCGAAACAAACACAATCCGGATTCGTTCCTCTAAGCATTCTTGTCTGACGTTTTGGAACCCTTCCAAGCGGATGACACCTTTGGAACCCTACCAACCACACCGAACTACCAACCACACCGTGTGAAGCGTCAGACATGTTGAGTGAGACACTGATTGATTGATCGACGGGGTGTTTTTCCTTCGCAACACAATCTCACAATAGATGGCTTCCCCTAGGGTCCATTCCTTATGATCAGTATCCTTCATTCATGTTTCCTTTATACTTTCTGTTTCGATGCCTCCTGTGTTCCAAAGAGGCAGGGTCGTCAAGAGTAAGTATCAAAACACGAGTAACTTAACATGATGCCAGCAAATGCATTCAAATGCTATGCTGCGCCTCAGTAGATACCATGTTAAATGCCGTGCCATGCTGGGCAGCCAGTGCACCCATTAATCAACCGTATTACCGTCCGTATGGACAGACTAGGCATCTGTAAGGCCAGGAGCCCCGTTCGTAGCGTTCTTGTGACGGCTGGCGTACTTTTGGTAGTTGCAATATTTGGTAATTCCTTCTTGTTCCTAGTAGTACGGCCAGGAGCCCCTAGTACTTAGTAGAGTCCGAACGCTCCGTGCGTAGCGATGCCAGGAGCCCCGTTCGTAGCTTCTTGTTTATAGTAGCGATTTGGTATCATGAACCAACGAAACCATGATGACAGTGCATTGGGACCGGTCTGGTCGTCGTTTGGCCTGGAGCATGAGGGTCTGGTCCAATGGTCTCCGGATGATTGATGCAGTTGCCCGCGCGATTCATGGGTGTTCCATCTGGCAAGTAGCCAACCTGGGCTCATCTTGACTCATCTCCAATTCGGAGATCCATTTAAACCTGTTTGGCTCTTCACCACAAAAGAATGGATCAATTGGGCGAATTATCGATAATTAGAGATGGAGAAACCAAATGAAACCACCAACCAAATACAGTGGGATGTGATAGGATCACAGCATGTTCCTAGATCCGACAATCTCCTCAACCACTTTCCGCTCCGGCCAAGTGGCATCATTGCCAAAAGTCAAGTCCACATAGGCATCCTTCGCCGGTCGCCAAGTCAACCAAATGAGGATTGTCAACCAAATGAGGTGTTGCTTCCGGTGTTTGGCTACACATGGCTGGTGATTCTTGATGTTGGGTATCCAACTTCAGGTTAACAACACTGTTCGCAAAAGGAACGGACACTGAGGGTCCCTCCACCGTGTTGGTTTCCGTCCGAGGAGCGGCTACTGTAATGGGCTGAGGCTCGGACAAAGCGCACGGGCTGAGCAACCCTTTGTTACGTTCATTGTTACTAGTAGCGTTCTTGTTCCTAATAGTAAGGCCAGGAGCCCCGTTCATAGCATCCTTGCTCCTAGTAGCGATGCCAGGAGCCCCTAGTAGCGTTCATTGTTTCTGGGTCCCTTTGTTTCGTTCGTAGCTTCTTGCTACTAGTAGTAAGGCCAGGAGCGCCCTGTTCGTAGCGTCCGAACGCTCCTAGTCCTAGTAGCGATGCCCTTAGGTTACTGGGTGGCTCGGAGGGTCCGTCGAAATTCGGGCTCACTTTCGATCGGGGATGACCGGATCACCAACGCCCTTGTGAAGAACAACCAACGCCTTTCGATCGGTCCACCTTCCTTCACCGGGAAAAAAGACACATCGGCCGAAGACTCCTTCTGCACGGAGTATGCGAAGCCGACGGAATGGTGCACAGGGGCGCCACTCTGAGCCTGGGCGACCGAGCGACCGGGGGCAGGTCTGGCAGGTCTGAGCTTGGAAGAGCACAGCCGCACAGCCCCATCTTTTCCTTCGAATGGACACGAAACATGCCACTTGATGAGAACAATTCCGATGAGAACATGACACAGTCCCTGACATTCGCATGAGATTGTTGGGGTTGAAGAGTGGAACACTGACCGTGTAAGTCCAACCACTTATATCTATGATCTATTGAGTTCTTTAGCGAGTAGCGGAGGATCCCACAAAGGCAGCCGCCACCGGCACGGGAGCAGAAGCTGCCGGGGCAGGAGCCGGGGCGGCAAAGCCCTCGGAGCCTGCCGCGGCAGGTGCGGCCTTCACACCTCCCTGATATGGAATAGACGAGTGGTGGAGACAAATGCGAACCTTTCCATCTTGGCATTTCCTGTAGCCAAAGGTGTACTCCACCTTGCTGATGCTTCCATCCTTGGCGCTGGCAAAGAAGTAGTTGCCCATAGCGATGGCAACATCCCCGTTCAAGTCGATCTGGTGGTTGTCAAAGAGCACATCTGACCAACCCTGTCCACCGTTGATTGCAAAGCCATGATCTTCAGGAATTCCATCAGGCACGGCATCAGCTCCGACAAAGTAGGACATGGCCTGGCCTGCCTCGGGGCGGAACTGGACATCCGCAGCTTTGGTTGGCTTGAAGAGCACCTTCCCATGGCCATAGCCGTAGAGTTCACCGGCGGCTTGACCGGCCATTGCCACATAGTCCCCACCTTCCAAGTAGCATTTGGAAATCCTCTTGATGGCATCTGCCCAGGCTCGCTGGGCGCCCTTCACCTCCTCCATGGTCACGGAGCCAGCAGAAGCTTGAAAGGCTGTAGATCGGGCGGCAATCTTGGAGCGCTTGGGACGGGCCAAGACTTTCAAGACCCCAGCCGCTGTGGCCACAAGTGCAACGCCATACACAGAGCCTGCCGGGCTGCTGGCTCTTCTGGGTAATACAAAACGAGCCCCACGCCGTGTTTTCTTCAACTTCTTCTTTCATAAGTCTTTCAAACTTCCGGGATCAAACAAAAAGACAAGATCAACTATACCTGGACCCTCCTGTCGGGGTGTCCAATGGACCACCCCACACTACCTATAGGCTTCCATTGGGCACCCCTTGGCAAGTTGGAGGGTCCTGGCAAGTAGTCACTACTGTTCTACTATAAGACTACCTCACCAAGCAGTCGATACAAGAGGAACATCCCAACCGACAGGCCCCATCTCATTCAGCTCGCCGGCCTGCGAACTCGCCCTTCAAATTGCCTTGTGGCGCGGTGTTGGCCCCGGCGGCCACTGTGGCAGTGGCTCTTGGCTTCACAGGAACCACAAAGCCGACACTGAGACAGGTCATAACTCCAAGGGCACTCAGGAGGGCGATTTTCGACCTTAGAACTTCAAGAAACGCACATTCTTCATGCCGGGCATGCCCATGGCAAACAGTTCTCTGCTCTTTGGTTGGGGACGTCCGAAAACTTCACGGGATTCAGAACACAGAAGTCGATGGAAAATCCGGATCAATGCCGACCCAGCGACATCTTCTGAGGGTCCTTCGGACTTGGCGCGAAAAATGACGACCCAACAGGTTTGGAAAAGGCGCTTGAGCCGAAGAGAGGTGAAGCATATCTCCTCTTTGGGAGGCGGTAGCTTTGAAAAAAACGGCAAAAAAGAAGCTGAGGGTGCAAATCATACATCGCATCGCTTTTTGACATGTTGGGCAGTCAATGTGAATCTCCGAAAATCCTGGCGGACCAGCAAACATCATACTGTGGCCTTGGGCATGGCAAGAAGCAACTGTTTGGCGAGGCATCATTCAGTCATTAACTCTCTGGAGCCTACTGGCTGGCGCCGCTTCAGCATCTGGCATTGATGCCAGCCGCATCCTTCAGTCATTAACTCCAGTGCTTACTAGGCGCCGCTTCAGCATCCAGCATTGATGCCAGCCAGCTTCAGTCGCCTTAAATTGACGCCTGCCTTTTTGAGCTCGGAACCCAAAAAATTGAGCGAACCTCTTTCATTTGTGCGCCTTTCGCCTTGAAAGGCGCTGGGAAACCAACCAGTTTTGAGCTCCGCAAGAAAATCGAATCTGGTCCATAGTCCGTACACACCAGGATGAAGCTTAGTACGCTTCTCCCAGACCACTCAAGAAGACAATGAGTGGAGATATCACAATCACGTGATCAGCAAATATCAGCAGTATGAAACAGAATATGACGGTGTATGCAACACTATCCAACAGTGATCAGGTACGATCAATGTCTGATTCTGCTCCACCTGTGGCTTCTTGAATGCAAACAAACAAAGAAGTGGAGCAAGTCTCGGCAGCAATGAAGTGAGCCTAGCTCTGCTACCAAAAGAATCGGCTGAGTCGTCGTGCACTGTGTCACTGTGCCTTGACTTAACCGTCACAGCAACAGTGCGCGGAGACCATGGAGACCATGGCTTAGTGCACGGTGTTGTTGCCGGCTTTGTCGATGGGTGTGCCATCCACCAAATATCCCACGTCCGCAGCGTAGGCTGAGGCGGGCAATTCGCTACCAGGAGCATGAGGATCGGGTCCAATGTTCTCCTCAGTCCGAATCAAAGACCTAACCTGTGAATGTTCCCATATTAGAAACCTGTGCTGATACCCTCTTCCTGAGACCGAACCAACCTTGCGGTACAAGTTTGTAGTTGTTTGGAGTATTTCAGGATTCAAGACCTTGTGCACATTTGTGGGTATCATTTTCTTCTAACCAGGGGGTGTTTGCGAGCTACAAAGTAGGCGATCCCTTGCAGGTTCAGTCGTACAACAACTTAAAAGAAGGGAAACACAAGTGCAAAGGGGAGCAACTAAGCAGCTGCTAAGAACGCGAAACGAGGAAATAAATTATTTGGGGAGACCAAGGAGAAGTGGTCCACAACTCCAAACTAGAATTGTAATCGTCATAGGTAATCAATCAACAAGGTAAAGGATTAAGTTGAAAGCGAACAAGGCGACAAGAAATATATAGAAATATACTCGAGACAGCTAGCCAAGAAATGACAAGAAGCAACACTAAATAGAGCTGGTTCTCCAGCAGTTCCACAGAAGAGGCACCGTAGGTCCAGTCGAACGTAGAATTCACTTCATAGGTCATGTTGCACGTAGAATACGACAGCCCATATGTGTTACTTGTGGGGGACCGAATGGCTTACCTCAACCTGCCCGGGATGACCATGGCCAATGGCCAAGTTCACGCGCAAGGAGGGGGTTGGAGGCTCATTCTGCTTTCTTTCCCCACTTCTAGGTGAGATGAACCCAAAGTAGATTCCAACAACTCTTTTGATGCTTGAGTTGGTCCCAGTGCATCGAGAAACCATCCAAGACCCATCGAACCCTTCATGAAGCTCCGTTGCCAAGTGTCCGGATGGTTGATGTTGTTTCCTGCGGTGTTCAAAGGAGTGCCGTCCGGCAAGTACCCCACGTCATTCACGAACAAAGCACGGGGCAGGACGGAGCCTGGCGATTTTCGTGCCGGCGGCGAGGAGCACTTCGGCTCACCTCCCACCGTGGGCGTAATGTCCCTTCCTGAAAAATCAGGGGACCCTCTACTACTTGACGTGCCAACCTGCCGCAACCCTTGGGCAAATGGCATGAGTCAATCGGTTCACCAAGAGGACCTCTATGATTGGTTAAATCAGGATGGCCAGGAAAGAGACATGAGGACAAGGTAGCCAAGGAAACAGCCAGATGGTAAAGATGGGTAAACATGTGATGCACAAATAAACTACAGTAAACAAACATGATTATCCGGAACAAATGCACCAATAAAAAAATCGACCTTGAACCAACAGCGAGTCTGCATCGCTTTCAGCGTGGTCATCGCGTTTCTCTCACGTGCGGTCGGGTCTGGTCGTCGTTTGGCCTGGAGCATGAGGGTCTGGTCCAATGGTCTCCGGATGATTGATGCAGTTGCCCGCGCGATTCATGGGTGTTCCATCTGGCAAGTAGCCAACCTGGGCTCATCTTGACTCATCTCCAATTCGGAGATCCATTTAAAACTGTTTGGCTCTTCACCACAAAAGAATGGATCAATTGGGGCGAATTATCGATAATTAGAGATGGAGAAACCAAATGAAACCACCAACCAAATACAGTGGGATGTGATAGGATCACAGCATGTTCCTAGATCCGACAATCTCCTCAACCACTTTCTGCTCCGGCCAAGTGGCATCATTGCCAAAAGTCAAGTCCACATAGGCATCCTTCGCCGGTCGCCAAGTCAACCAAATGAGGATTGTCAACCAAATGAGGTGTTGCTTCCGGTGTTTGGCTACACATGGCTGGTGATTCTTGATGTTGGGTATCCAACTTCAGGTACACACTGTACACAACATATCCTGTAGTACTCCTGTAGCATGATTTAGGTTGCCCCAAGACCCTTCAGCCAAAATTCCAAAGTTGGACATTGTATAACCTTGTCAAATGGGTCAACACAAAGGCCCTTATTCGGCCACCCCAGTTGACTCAAATGGTCATCTTCATACCGAATATTCCCGAGCTGGATCCAAAGAAAGGCGACTTTGGACAACACTCCATAACACACAGTCTCCAATGTTAACATCCTTTAACCCGCAGGACTTCCCTAACTCAATGCCGGAAGAAAACCCCTCATCCCTGCCGTGCATCCCATCCCCATCCGAGGACAAAAGAGCAATCAAACGAGACACACACCCTTTCTTTCTTCAATTACGCCTCACGTGGCCCAACAAGTGCCCACGTGCCCACGCCAATCGCGTCTTGCATGCCTAGTTCTGAATTCAGTTGGGACACGACACATACTTCACAAAACAAACCACTTGAGGCGTTCACTCGACTTCGACTTTACCCGTGTGCCAATTTGTCCATCCTAAACCAGTGACGCGCTTTGTGCCACTGGTGCTCTCCCAAAAAAACCACACACTTTCTCGAGTTGCGCGGGGGGGGGGGCCGGGGGGGTGGGACGCTCTCCGGACGCTCGGCGGGTCCTTCTGCACGGAATAGGCGAAGCCGACGGAATGGTGCACAGGGGCGCCACTCTGAGCCTGGGCGGACCGAACGACCACGGAGGGCCGAAGCGACCGGGACGGGATGGCCAAACACGGATGGCGACCATCGACTTGAGAGGAGGGAGACACGAAAGGTAGGACAGACTCAAGGTATCCCCTAAAGGGCTACCTTTCGTGAAATGTAGAACGCTGACCATGTATTATCTATGGAGTTCTTTAGCGAGTAGCGGAGGATCCCACAAAGGCAGCCGCCACCGGCACGGGAGCAGAAGCTGCCGGGGCAGGAGCCGGGGCGGCAAAGCCCTCGGAGCCTGTCGCGGCAGGTGCGGCCTTCACACCTCCCTGATATGGAATAGACGAGTGGTGGAGACAAATGCGAACCTTTCCATCTTGGCATTTCCTGTAGCCAAAGGTGTACTCCACCTTGCTGATGCTTCCATCCTTGGCGCTGGCAAAGAAGTAGTTGCCCATAGCAATGGCAACATCCCCGTTCAAGTCGATCTGGTGGTTGTCAAAGAGCACATCTGACCAACCCTGTCCACCGTTGATTGCAAAGCCATGATCTTCAGGAATTCCATCAGGCACGGCATCAGCTCCGACAAAGTAGGACATGGCCTGGCCTGCCTCGGGGCGGAACTGGACATCCGCAGCTTTGGTTGGCTTGAAGAGCACCTTCCCATGGCCATAGCCGTAGAGTTCACCAGCGGCTTGACCCGCCATTGCCACATAGTCCCCACCTTCCAAGTAGCATTTGGAAATCCTCTTGATGGCATCTGCCCAGGCTCGCTGGGCGCCCTTCACCTCCTCCATGGTCACGGAGCCAGCAGAAGCTTGAAAGGCTGCAGATCGGGCGGCAATCTTGGAGCGCTTGGGACGGGCCAAGACTTTCAAGACCCCAGCCGCTGTGGCCACAAGTGCAACGCCATACACAGAGCCTGCCGAGCTGCTTTCTGGGTAAAACTAAACAAAACTGCTGGGAGCCCCGGCCCGTGTAATTCAGAGTCATGCAATTCATGATAAACTAAGAACACTAACATCATATCTAACATCAATGAACTACGTCCCGACGAACTCACCAAAGCACAGGCCCAGGGCCGCGCCTGCGAACTCCGAGCCCTTCCACTCCCCTTGCGGCGCGGTGGCCCCCGTGGCCGTGGCCGTGGAGGAAACGGACACCGTGGAGGAGGGACTGGGATGCACCGGGGCCACGAAGCTCACGCTGAGGTAGGTGAGCACTGCCAGGGCACTCAGCAGAGCGAACTGCTTCGACCTCGAACAGTGCGACGCGAAGCGCTTCGGTCGATGAACAACCACCCAACGCGAAACCCTATGCGCCGAGCCGGTGACTCTTCCGCGGGGACTGTTGGAAAGCAACTGGGCGATGGCACCGGCTGGAGTGAGTGGTGTCCAGTATGGGGAGATATCGCCGTTGGATGCCTATGGGGTCCCCGTTTGGATGCCTCAGTCTGAAGCCGATTTGGTCAGATTCCAGAAAGCCAGGTGCACTCAACCCGCGCGGTCGCGCGCGGCGTTCCTCGCGTTCCCAGGGGCATCTTCTGAGCGGGACTGGCACGACAAAGGACGACCCAAAGAGCGGTGAAAAATGCGCTTGAGCCGAAGAAAGGCGAAGAGTTGAGCGGAGGGTTGGCCTTGGCAAACCATTCGGACCTAGCAAAGACCTCCAACCCAAAAGAGAACTCATCCGGACCTTCCGTCGATCCTTTCACCTGAAGACGTCTTGGAGTCCCGAACTCCCCCAAACGTCTGCTCCGACTTCTCTTTATCGGTGCGACATGGACGTCTGGAACAAGTGCTTGTTCGTCAAGGCCAAGCCGTGGGGGGTCGAAGCAGGGGCGTTCTCAATCAACGTGATGTTGAACTCAAAAGACTTAAAGATGGATCTGGGTGATGTTGGAGGCCATTGCTCTTAGTTTGGAGGCGGTCTGGATGATGAATTTGTATAATCCCAACTCAATACATAATCCCAACTCCAGATTGTACATTTTTGCTAAAGCAAGGAGAACTCAGGTAGCCTGAGGCTACCTTTCGTGTTTTGCTTCGTTCCAAAATTAAAATAGAGCTTAATAGGAGCCTTTCCCCATCCATCCAGTGACACAGGAGCCTTTCCTCGCCTCCGCTCGCGCTGCCGACTTCACCGCACAACAAGGCCCAGCTGAGTATGGAGGATCGTCCCCTGAGTATGGTCGGGGAGGTCAACTCAACTCACCCGCCCGAATCATCTTGCATCGATATGGATTTTGTCAGTCACAAGATCATGTATCATGTAACCCTAGGGCTCCAAGTACCTTCGAAGCTGTTTGGGGTAGGTTTAGAGGCTCCAGTCATACCTTCTGGGAAGGCACTTGGAGCCCTAGGGTAAGGCATTTCGCCCATCAGACTGTCCAAACATCGACGTGGAACAAGAAGCTGCTAGGGGCTTCTTGGACATCAGTTCGGCTCTCGAGGTGAAAAATCATCGATTTCTCATTCAAACTCTGCCTCTGCATTTTCTTCTCTGACGCCATGCTGCCTCAAGCCCTCACCATGTTATCGACAACCTGGCGGCCCAAAACATGCACAGCCTTCCGCGCAACAAGCTCCGGGTTGTCTCGAGCAACAACCATTGCAACCAGGGCCATTCGCGTCCAGACAGCTGTCCGGGGAACAGCAGCGCAAGCCTTTGCGGACACACACGTTCTGACAAAGGTATTCTCCATCCGGACAGGGACAAGTCTCGCCCTCGTTGCAGGGATTGCACACCTCGGGGTTCGCACAACAAGGGTCGGTGGATCCACAGCAAGGGTCGGAGGATCCGCAGCAAGGGTCTTCTGGGCAACATTCTGA